TTCTCCCACAGAGGATTCTCTATGTGGCGGCCTAGAACGAGGATTTACCCTTGTGGCAGCCTTTCAGAAGGATCCTCTGCGCGGCGGACTTGCAAAAGGATTCCCATGCGCGGCGGCCTTACAAAAGAACCTTTTTTTGGCGGCGGCCTCACACAAGGATTTCCTTTTGTGGCGGGCTTGCTAAAGGATCCCCTGTTGTGGCGGCCGCACCGAAGGATTATTTCATGTGGCGGCCTTACACAAGGATTCCTTGGTACGACGGGCGCAATAGGAAACAAACACATATAACATCAAAAACATGTGGTAACGATTGTGTGTTCCATCGTGTTGGTGTTGGATGCTGGAGAAACTTGGAAAACACCCAGCTTTCAGCAGTGGCAACTTCAAAACGCTTCAAAACACAACTCTTCCAGCAATCGGCGCTCCAAAACAATGTGTTATAACATGTTTGGTTTGTCATGTTCAGCACGACACACATTGTATAACACAGCTTTCCAGCAGACGGAATTGCAAGAAACCTTGGTTTACAATGTTTTCCTTACGACCGAGACCAACCGCATTGTAAAACACAGCGGTTTGGAGCTCCGATGGTTGAAAACGCTGGGTGTCAAAGCGTGTTGGACCTCCGAAAGCTGACAACGCTGCGTGTTCAAAGTTCCTGTAGCCTCCGGCACCAAAACGGCTGAAACAAAGTTATCAGATATCCCGTTGCGTGGTAAGTTGTGTGCTTTGCTATGTGTTGGTTGCTCTTGGTTTCCTCCTGCATCCAACACGAGAAGAATCCTTTTGCAACGCCGCCACAAACATGAATCCTGTTGTGAGACCGCCAGACAATAATATGTGATGCAATACAACCGCAAGAAGAATCCTGTTCTAAGGCCGCCACAATAGGAAATCCTTGTGTAAGGCCTACAAAGAAGAAAATCCTGTTGTAAGGCCGCCACGTCCGAGACCAAACACATTGTAAAACACAGCGTGTTCAGCAACCCGAGCCCCAACACGCTGTGATTTACACTGCGTTTCTTACGTCCGAGACCGGACGCAGTGAAAAAAAAAACCGTCTTGGAGCTCCGATTCTTGGCAGCGCAATGTTTTACAGAGTTTTGGAGCTCCGATTGCTGAAAACGCTGTGTTCCCAAAATGTGTTCAACCTCTGGCACCAAAACGATTGAACAATTTTAGCTGCATCCGTTTTGGAACGCAGATGTTTTTTGTGTGCGCTGCTTCGTTTGATGTTACATCCATCGGCGTAGGAACTGCTTCTGCAAGGCCACCCCCAAAAAATATGTTTTGCAAGGCCGACACAAAGAGGGACCCTCCTGCAAGGCACCATTCAAGGAATCTTTCTGCAAGGCCATCACAACAGGAAATCCTTGCGCAAGGCCGCCACAAAAGGCCATCCGCTTGTACGACGGTCACGAATAAGAGATCCGTATGTAAGACCACCGAACAAAGAATCCATCATTCCCTTTCGTAATGTATACAGGAGGACACCAAGACAAAAACAAGACAAATCAACAAGTGACAAAATAAAGGGATTCATATGTATATATATATATATATATATATGACAACTTCTGCTGGTTTCAATCGTTCTGGGGTCGAAAGCTGTAACAACTTTGGACACGCAGCGTTTCAGCTATCGGAAATCCATAACGCTGTGAAACGCAGCGTGATCTATAATGGAATTCGTCCCGGGAGCAACCAAAAAACATTGTAAACAAACGCCTCTTGGAGCTCCGATTGCTGAAAACGCTGTGTTACACCATGCGTGTCGTGTCGGACATGTGACACCATGCGTGTCGTTTCGGACATGTGAAAACAAGCATTGTAAAGCACATCGCTTTGGAAGCCCAATTGCTCAAAACGTTGTGATTTGACACGTTTTCAAGCTCCGATTGCTGAAAACTACGTGTGCTCCCAAATTCTCCAGTTTCCGACACCAAATGCGTTGCCCGATGAGTTAGTTCCCCCATTAGAAGCACACACTAGTTCCCCCTACGTGTTTGATGTTGACTGCTGTTGTTCTTTCCTCTTGTACATATCATGACAAGAGATGAGGGTGTAAGGCCGCCACAACAAATCCTTTCGTACGGCTGCCACAGCAGGAATTCTTCTGCAAGGCCGCCACAAAGAGAAATCTGTGCGAAAGACTGCCACAACACGAAGTCCTGTCCTAAGACCGCCACAAAGGGGAAACTTGTGCAAGACCACCGCAACAAAAATCGGTCTGCAAGGCCGACGCAGGAGGAGAACTTTATTCAAGGCCGCCACACATAGAACTCTTTCGTATGGCCGCCACATGTTGTAAGGCTGCCACGTCCGAGACCAAACACATCGGAAAACACAGCGTTTTCAGCAACCGGGGCTTCCAACACGCTTCGGTTTACAATGATTTTCTCTCATCCTGGAGCAAACGCATTGTGAAACACACAGTTTTGGAGCTCCGAAAACGCTGTTTTACAGCTTTTTGGAGCTCCGGATGCTGAAAACGCTGTGCTTTGACAGTGGTTGCTTGACAGCAATTCGATCAAGCGTCTTGGATTACATGTTCTCTTTCTTGATTCCGTTTTGCTTCTCATACAAGAAATGAATCCTGTTGAAAGACCGCCAAACAAAGAAAAACCTCTTGCAACGCCGCCACAAAACGAATCCTTGTGTAAGGCCGCCACAGCAGGAAACCATTGCGCAAGGCCGCCACAAAAAGGAATCTTCTGTACAGCCGCCATACATGGAAATCTTGTTGCAAGACCGCCGCAAGAGAAAGTGTTCGGTAAAGACCGCTACAAAGGAAAATGATTGTGCAAAGCAACCACAAAAAAAGAAATCCTGATTGTAGGGCCAGCACGGGAAAAGCTGGTTTCAAGGCAGCCATATCAAAAGTATCCAGCTCTAGAGCTATACGTTGGATGTATCGCTGCGTTCTGTGTGGACTTGATGTTCTAAGGCTATAACTTGGATGTGGAGTGCACGGCCGCCACAAACGGAAGTCTCTTAGATATGCTGCCACGCCACAAAAGGAACAGTTTTGCAAGGCCGCCAGAAGAGAACATATGTTGCAAGGCCACCACAACTCGTTTTTGCTAGGCCGCCACAAAAAGAAGTAATGTTGCAAGGACGTCACAACCGCTAACATGTTTCAGCGCCGCCACAACGAAAACAAAAATACGGTTGCATTGTTCCCCCACCCGTGTTTGATGTGTGCCCTGGCGCGCCTCACGTTTGCTCGTCCTTCTCTCCCTCCTCTCCCTCGCGATCCTCGTCCTCGTATTCCTCCTGCTCAGATCTATCGTCCTCCTCCTCCTGCTCCTCCTCCTTCTCTTATTGGTATGCGCGATCTCCCCCCCCCTGTCCCTCCCCCTCTTCTTCTTTCAATCGTCATCCTCGTATACCTCTTCCTTATCCCCCTCTCCCCCTCTTTCACAGATTGCTCATCTACGCCAAAAGCGTTATCCTCGTCCTCGCCGTCTCTCCATAGTCCTTGTCGGAAAAATCCCCTCCAATGAAAGAAACATTCGCGCGGTGATTCTGATGGGGGTGGTGATACGAATGGCGATGATGATGAGAACGCAGGAGTAGATGGACTGTACTCTTCACCACCACCACCCTCCTCCCCATCATATTCGTCGTCGTTGTCGTCGCCCTCCTCCTCTTTAACATCTTCGATTAAAGAGGACCGATGACTCGCGGCTGAACGAATATCCTTGCTCCTCACTCTCCTCCTCCCGCCCCGTGGTTCATGCGCCTACTCCTTCTCTCCGGTGAAAGTGGATGTGCGACGAGAATGAGGGGCGATGGCAGGAGGGGCGGACCGAAGATGGGAATGAGGAGAACGAGGAATAAACGGAGTCGTCTCCTCACCAACATCCATCCCCATCCGCTTCCTCCACCCCCCGCCCACCGTCTTCCGACCAAGTGGGCGTGCGAGCACGGGGAAGAACAGAACGGAGATGGACACGGGGGATGGGGGTAGTGAATATGAGGGAGCATGAGGACCGAAGGGGGAAAATGAGGGAGAGGCCATGTGGAAGACAAGGGTGGATGAGAATAGTGGCAACGTTGTATCTCTCGTCATAGCCCCTCCGTTGTATTATGAAGAAGCGGGGCATCCTCCTCCTCACCCGTCGCACGTCACATCCGGTTTCTCATCCTGCGCATCCTCCCTCTCATCAGCCGCCTCCCCTCTGATTCCTTCCGTCGCATCCCCATCCCCGTCCCCATCACCACCACCACCACCACCATCATCATCATCATCATCACCAACACCACCACCACCATCATCATCGTACTAATGGTCGCCCGCTTTATCCTTCCTGTTCGTGCTCGCTCCCGATGTTATCGCAAACGTACCCTTCCCTTCCCGGAAGGGGATGAAGTATGGCACTGACGGCGCATGACATCACTTCGGATCCCTCCTCTTTCACATTTGCCACTTGATAAAATGCCCCATGCTCCTGACTCCCCCTCATCCCCATCATCATAATCATCGCCCCCGCACCATCATACTCTTCACCAATGTCAGCCAGTCCATTTCTCTTCGTCGCGTTCGCCCTTCCCTTCCCTTCCTTCCACGACGAGGAGTAGATGTGCTGATGATTGTGAGGGGGGAGGAGGAGGAGGATTGATGAGCATGCGAGTGGAGAAGGAGTCTCCTATTCCTCCTCCTTATCCTGGACATCCGCAAAAAAACTCAGTATCAGTTCCCCCTCCTTCGGCGAGGATATAGATGTGACGGCGGAGGAAGAATATGATAACTACGGAGGTGCGACGCTGCAGGAGGAAAAATGACTGCATGCCTGCATGCTCGCTGGCAAGCTGTTGGCCTCAGCGTCACTCGCTCATTTAGTGCGTCCTACTGCGCCACCGAAGTGGCATATACACCATGCGTTGGGAAAATGAGCCGGCGGCGGCGGCAAGAATACTCGCAAATGTGCAAATTCCAAGGCACTTCGTCGATACCCCCCCCCCCGGGGCAGGGCCGCCAGACGTCTGCGGAGCTCCTGCGCCCCGCCTTCCGCGCGGCGCCGATGTCGTGGCTCCTGGGCTCCCCGAGCCGCAGCGGCCGCACCACGCGGACCACCTTCGGGGCGACGCCCCCCCCTCCCCTCTCGCCCCTCCTTCCCTTCCCCCTCCTCCTCCTCCTCCTCTTCTTCTCCTTCTCCTTCTTCTTCTTTTTCTTCTTCTTCTTCTTTTTCTTCTTCCTCTTCCTCCTCCTCCTCCTCCTCCATTACTCCTTATAGCTAACGTCTCCCTATCGCACCCCAAGGCCAGTTTTGTTTTTAGGGCGGGCTGGGCGATTCGCCTGAGACTGCCTCACCACTGATGACTCTGAAGCTGAAAGACTGGTTGACACCACCCCGACGTCGTCCCCGACCCTCAAAAAGTCCAGGAATAGAAAAAATACCCCCCGCCACTGGTAGTGTATGTGCATTAGTTTCCGATGAAGGGCTCAATACGAGTGGTGAACAAGGCAGATTTTATTCTCACGCCAGCTAGCCTGGTTCAAGACGTGGCGCACAGAGATGCATTCAGAGCGCTGTTGAGCGCCAGTCTACTGAATCAGTTGATCACCGCCGAAGGCTCGAATCGCCTTTGGAAGGTTCGACATGGAACAGGGATGGGGCTCTCATGCCGTGGGGAGGTCTCAGATGCAACACTCCACTGCTCAGAGGAACAGGATGTCGCCGCGCAACCCAACGTCAAGGAGCTTTTCTGCGTAAAGTTCGACGGTCGTTTCAAAAACGACGGCTTGATTATTGTCTCCGAGGACTCTTCGGCACGAACTCCAGCCGCGCTGGTCAGAACGATGCGATCGCATGAATATTTCAAACGTTCAGTGGATAGCAGATTTACCGATGGAGTGGTTACCATTAACGCTGAGTTTACAAAGAATGCAGAGTGGGAAAGAATGGGTAGGCTCTCGTTCTACAAGTCTGCAGAATCTTGTTCTATCTACCCCCCTTCCCCCCTCTGCCCGTCCATGGCATTGCCATCCTGCTTGGCCACAAGCCGTCTGCTGGAGCTTTCGCGCGCTGTCGTGCACCGGGCGCGCTGTGACATCCCGAGCGGAGACTTCCGCAAATGCGTCTGCGTGCGCGTGTGGTGTGCAGCTCACGGTTGATGATGCACCCAAGGCCCAAAGCCCTAAGCAGCGCAAGAATGCCGCGGCTTCTGACCTCGCCCTTCCCTCACACAGTGAACGGGAGAAGGCGAGACTCTGAAAAGTACTGGACAGGGCAAGGGAACTACATCCAGGCCCAGGTCAATCGTGCTGGCGCCACAGCAGCATCTGTGGTGACGTGGACCGTGTACATGGTTGGTTGGCTGGGGTCGGTGATGGTAGAGAATCTTGGAGCATCTTCAGGGCGACAGAAGCCTGCAACAACGGACCCGATGATACAACAGGCCGTCAGTGTCATCGTGTCCGAGCCATCGCAATGATGAATGGTCTTACCATCGTGTCGAGGATCTGGCCCGCCCCAAAAAACGGGCCTCGGGGCGCGACCGGGAGAAGCTGTTTAGAAGGGAAAAGAAGGGGGGAGGAGGAGGAGGAGGATGGGAGTGCACTGCACTGCCTTCACTTGCATTGCATTGCGTTTCTTTGCCGTGCTTTGCACTTCTCTGCAGTCGCACTGCATTGTGATCGAACTGCACTGCACTGCAACCGCATGGAACTGCACTGCTTTGAACTGTGTTGCATCGCGTTGCACTGCTTCGCTTTGCGTTGCATTGATTTGCGTTGCGTTACAAGTGTTTTGCACTGCTGTGCATTACGTCGCATTGCGTTACACTGCGTTGCATTGCTTGCTCCTCCTCCTGCTCGTCCTCCTCCTCCACCTCCTTCCCCTCCTCCTTCTGCTCCGCCCGCTCTTCGTCCTCCTCCACCTCCTCGTCCCCGTGCCGACGACATTCGCTCCCTGGCAAGGGGAAGATCTCGAGGGACACACGGGGCGCCGGTAAGAGTTACCTGAACTCGAAGAGCATCCCTGAGAAGCTCCTTATCCCGCGAGAGGCTGGACGGCAGTGGCCCTTAGTTGCACCGATACGCAACACGCAACACGCAGCGTGTTGATACGGAGCTCACCACGTAGGCTGAAAACGTAGGTCCGACGCGATACGTTCGCCAAAACGTGGTCCAATACGCGGAACCAACACGCAGCGTATTGACACGGACGTCCCGAACATTGGACGTGCTGCGTTTCAAAACGGGCGTATCGAGGCAACCAAGCAGTGGCCCAGGCTCTTACAGTCGGACCCAGGACAAGAGAACGTCCCTTCAAGAGCACGAGGCCATCCGCCGGCCCAGACCGAAGAACATGCGAGGGTGCCCTATCCCAGGATGCACAGGAGCAGCAGGGCACCCTCCTTGAACTGCTGACCTCGACCCTATACCTCGGTCGGACCGTATGCCCTCAGATTCAGGGCAGTGGCGACCCCCCCCAGAGAGGTACACGTCGTTCATTTCTAATCGTGCCCATTTCTAATTGTGCTCGTTTCTACTTGTTCCTGGCCCCCCAGTGGCCAGGAAGAGGCCCAGGACAGGACAATCAGAAATGACAGGATCCTGGCCCCCCCCCCCAAAAAAAAGTAGAGGAACTGTCGAAGACTTGGAAATGAATCAGATGCATGCCTCGGTCGGACCAAGCAAATGCCCTCACGTCCGGGGCAGTCGCGAACCCCCCCCCCCGGAGGAGGCAGGGGCCCGCACCCCGGGCCGGCCCCGCCGATGGACGCCCACCCCTGCCGAGGGACGGGCCTCGGGTGCTGCCAGCAGAAGTACCCCGTTGCCCAGGGTGCCCCCAGCTTGAAGACTCCCCTGGGGCCCCTAAGGGCCTCGCGAGGGGGGTGCTTTTCGGAGGCCGTGTGGGCTGCCCCGAAACTCCTGGGGGGCACCTTGGCCCGGGGGCACTCTGGCAACACCCCGAGGGGAGGGGCTGGCAGGGGCCCGCGCGGGCCTGGACGCCCCGAGCCCTGCTGAGGGACGCCCGCCCCTGCCGATGGACAGGCGTGGGCACCAGGCCCTCGCATGTGAGGACTCTGCGGGGCACGGGGAGCTCTGCTCCGCCCCCGTGGCCGTGAGGCGGCCATCTCGCGGACGCCGGCGCGGCGCTGTCGCTCTTCGCCGGGGGCGGCGCTTCGTATACAGTCAGGGCGTTGACCTAAGGAACCCTAAGTAAGGAACGAGGCCCCTTTTTCCAATAAGTTAAACTTCGATTTCCTATCGGAAACATAAGGAAAACCTGAGGCAAGCTGTGAAACACTTAAGGAACGCGGAGCCCCTCCCCAACGAAAAGGGTTCCTTCTTCAGGGCCCCGACTGTAGGCATCGTGCTGGACGGTGTGCCAAGCAGCGATCTTGCCGTCGCTCGGACGTCCCTTGCCCGTGCATTTTTCGGTTTCGTGCGTGCTTTGTTGCTCGATGTTCCAGGATGGTCCTCGATGGTTCTCGCTGAGAAAAAATCCGGGAATGTGCATTCTGACAGACAAACCGCAGCAAGGGGTTCCCCAAACTTTGCACCTCCTCCCCCTCCTCCTCCTCAACCTTCTCCTCCTCAACCTTCTCCTCCTCCTCCTCCTCCCCCTCCTCCTCCCCCAACTCCTCCCCCTCCTCCTCCTCCTCATCCTCCTCCTGCTGCTTCTGCTTCTCATTTAGACGTGGCCGATTCGGACCTCAATATTAAGAAGAGAACGGAACCAACTAGTCTCATGAGTCTTCTCTACAGTGGAGCCACTCTGGCTCGGAAGCCCTTGCGACGCCTTTATCGGCTCGAGTGTTGCGTCTCGGTTCGAGTCTAGCCCAAGAGCTGGCAGCTTCCCCCATTAGCGGCGCTCAGTAGAACCATTTTAGCATGCATGGCCACTCCTGTCGATGGACAGACACAAGCATCCGCACCTGGTGCCTGAGGCCTGGTTGCCCATCCCTGTCGATGGACAGACATGAGTATCCCATCCTCGCAATGAGGATTTTGCTCGGCACACGGAATTGTGGTCCGCATCAGTGGCCGTGAGACGGTCGCATTTCCGCTGCTGGCGCGGCATTTTCGCCGCTGAGGGCGTTCGGTGGACACCGTGTTGGCCTGGATGCCGGTCCCTGTCGATGGACAGACCTGGGAATCGGCACTCGCACAGAAAGCTAGGATGCCTGCCCCTGCTCTGGTGGACAGGCACGGGCACCCCGCCCTGGCGAAGAGAGGACGCGCTGGGCACCGAGCCTTTTTGGCCCGCCTCCGCGGCCGCGAGCTGGCCAAATCGCCGCTTCGGGCGCGGCAGCCTCCGACAGCTACTTCGCGCCACGCGCGAGCACGAACACAGGGCAGCTTTTAATACATAGGATTTTTGAAAATATAGGATTTTGAATACATGACTCATTTATGAATAGATGCATGCATGCACTCATCGTTGTTTTTGGTACTGAATCCCTGCATGTTTACTACGTGATCCGCACGCGGAACATGTATTAAAAACGGCAATGTATGGCGGAATCTCGGTGGAAGCCGGTGGAAATAGTATGCGGAGAGGTCGCCCGCTGGGGCCCCCTCAGTTTGCACTCTGCTGCCTCGAGTGCTCACGCGAAGAGCAAGGCGTCGGGCCGCCCGGCACTCGTGCCCGCTATTTAGCCGCCCATGGGCAAGCGTCCTCGGAAGGCGTTTTTGCCCAGGAGCTCGGTGAGGCCGCGTGCCCCTGGATGGCCACGCCTGTCATGGGACGCCCGTCCCAGTCAAAGGACAGGCATGGGCACCCGCTCCTCGCGCCGAAAGCCAAGACGCCCATCCATGTCGGTGGATGGGCATGGGCATCCCGCCCCCGCAAAAGAATGTTGCTGGGCGTCCGAGGAGGTTCGCCCGCTGCTGTTGCGGGAGCAGCATCGTTCGAAATTCACGTTGTCTATTGTGCGCCGTTCAGCTCCTCGTGCCTAGAGAAAGCCAGGGTCCCCATTCCTGTCGATGGACAGGCATGGGCACCCTGCCATCACAAGAAGGGTTTTGCTAGGCACTCCAACACTTTGGCCCGCCCCAGAAGCTGCGAGACAACCGAATTAGCGCTGCTGGCGCGGCTTACTTCGTACGATACTTCATGGCACGGCCTGAGCATGCAACAACCGTTGTTGGCCAGTTTGGGAGGAAGCAGGTGGGTGAAATTCGCGTCGATCGCTGGGTGGGGCCCACTTGCTCGCAGAGTGGCATCAGGGTTGTAGGGGGCTGAGCCTGTCGGTATGAGCTTCGCGGACCGGGGGATCCAAGCTGCCTGCGATGCCCCTGAATTGCTTCACTGGCCTTGGGTCAAAAGGCCTCGGGGAAACGACTTGTCCGCAAGAGCGCTTCGCGGACAAAATGGTTCCCTAAACTCTCTGGTCGGCGCGAGCGGAACGGCCGCGGGGAAGCCATTTGTAAGCGAGAGCCTATGGCGGATAAATGCTTTCCGAAGTTCTCGAGCCGGCTCGAGCCACACGGCCGAGGGGGGACCATTTGTCCGCAAGAGCCTGTGGCGGGCAAGCGGTTTCCAAACACGGGGAAAACGTGGCTCGTCCTCCTCTCGGCTGCCTGAGCGCCGTTCGGGGTAGTAGCGAGGCTCCAGCGGTCCACGCTCCCTCTTTGACACAACCCCACCATCCCACAAACGCCGGTTGTTCCCAGCTTCGTCCTCACCTTGGCCTCCAGTCCAAGCCCCTTGGGGGTGAGGCCAGAAGGCGAGCATGAGCAACGGCACAAGTGACCCTATCTAGCCACCGCGAAGATGTGCAAATTCGCGCGCCCCTGAAGATCGTCGAGGGACCATTCTGAGCTTATCGTTAGTCCCTCGCGAGCACCGTCTCCTCGACGTGCCGGTGTAAGCGCTGTGAGGAGAGGCATGGTTTGTCCGCCCCATCGCGTCCTCCGGGGTCGCAGCTGTGTCGCCTGCGCGGGGTGGACATGCGGTCAGCGACCCACACATAGCCAGCAAGTGAGCACGCCTGCGATGACCGGAGTACACAAGGGCATAGCTGTGAAAGGTGTCTGGCGACATCCAGGTTGTGGACTCTTGCGACGAGATAGAGGAAAGAGAACTATGTACATGCACCGATTCTGGCCAGACCCATTCTGAGCCCATAATCGGTGCATACGCCCTCCTGCCTTCACCAGGAAGGCATGTGCACCGATCCTGGGTCAAGGATCGGCCTTGCCAGGATCGGTGCATGTGCATAGTTCTCCTCGCCCGACGAGAGAAAATCAGACACGATGGCTGGCACCACGGGTGAAAGCAGCTGGGCGATGCGGCTGACCGCGCCCCCCTACACACGGGAGAGTCACTCGAGCGGGGACCCCGCCGGGACCAGCCCCGCAGACGCGGCAGGAAGCCGAGGGGAATCTCCTCGAGCTGTCCCACGGCCCGGACACTGTCTACAGTTATGTTGTTCACATCCTACTTAAGGACCACATCATAACAATAATTTCGAGCACCCAGAAAAGTGTCGAAAGAGTGTCGAAACAGTGTCGAAACAGTGTCGGGCGAGTGTCTCCCAGGGCCCGACACGTGAAAACCCTTGAGTTTCGGTACTTTTTCTGGCGCTCGATATTCTTTCTGGTTATCAAGGCTAAATAGGTTGGAGCATCATAAGTCTACAGGTGCATTCGTGTCTCATCCTCCTGGCTGCTTCACCCAAGCGGACAAGATGGCCAACCGTCGCACCCGATGCGGGACATGCTCCTTGGACGGGCGCAGGACACGGTGCCAGGAAGGGACGTGGTCATGGCAATGTGTTGAATGTCCTGGAGCTTTCCGATCCCATACATGCCTGTTAGCAAGGCTGTGCAAGGACACGCGCTCAGAAGTACGGAGCGGATCGTGTCCACTTGCGCCGATACGCAAGCTGAAAAGTGACAGGATAGCCTAGGGGGAAACTCATCATCCCTTCCCGCGGTCCGACTCGAGCCTGAATGGGGCTTTCGAATGTGATCCCCCTGGCTGCACTGCCCTGGAACAAGACGTGTCCTGTCCTCGGGCAGCACGGCAAGGTGGTACACCAGGCCTTTGGTCCCAGCAACAGGGTTGAGGCACCCCTAAGCAATAGCACTTCAGGCACTCCTCTCCTCCTCCTCTCTCCCCATCGCTCCGTCTCCTCCGATCCCTCCTCCTCCTCCTCCTCCTCCTCCTCCTCCTCCTCCTCCTCCTCCTCCTCCTCTCCTCTTCCTCCTCTCCTCCTCCTCCTCCTCCTCCTCCTCCTCCTCCTCCTCCTCCTCCTCCTCCTCCTCCTCCTCCTCCTTCCCCTCCCTCCTCCTCCTCCTCCCTCCTCCTCCTCCTCCCTCCTCTCCTCCTCCTCCTCCTCCCCCTCCTCCTCCTCCTCTCCCCTCCTCCTCCTCCTCCTCCTCCTCCTCCTCCTCCTCCTCCTCTCTCCTCCTCCTCCTCCTCCTCCTCCTCCTCCTCCTCCTCCTCCTCCTCCTCCTCCTCCTCCTCCTCCTCCTCCCTCCTCCTCCTCCTCCTCCTCCTCCTCCTCCTCCTCCTCCTCCTCCTCCTCCTCCTCCTCCTCCTCCTCCTCCTCCTCCTCCTCCTCCTCCTCCTCCGTCCCAGCCCACCCCACTCCTTTTCCCCCCACTCCTGCCCCTCCTCCTCCCGCTGCCTCCCCCTCCTCCTCCCCCTCCTCCTCCCCACTGCCCCCTCTTCCTCCTCCTCCCCCTCCTCCCCTCCCCTCCTCCCCGCCCCCATCATGCTCCTCCTCCCGCCCTCCTTCTTCCCCATCCTCCTTCTCCCCTTCCTGCTCCTCCCCCGCCTCCCAGCCGCCGCCGTCAGCTCCAACGCCACGGCCGCGCGCAGCCTTCGTCAGCTGACGCTGGCCATCGGAGGCCATCGGCGGCCATCGGCGACCATCTTTGGCCGTCGGCGGCCAACGGCAGCTGGACGCGCGTCGGGATGGTGCTCAAGCGACGGGGTCCGAGGTCGTCGTCGTCCCCGTGGTCCTCGGAGCCCGGGACTGCGGACGGTCCTGGGTCAAGCCCTGGCGCCATCGACTCCTCCTCCTCCTCCTCCTCCTCCTCCTCCTCCTCCTCCTCCCTCCTCCCTCCTCCCTCCTCCTCCTCCTCCTCCCTCCTCCTCCTCCTCCTCCCTCCTCCTCCTCCTGCTCCCCCTCCTCCTCCAACTCCGCCTCCTCCACCTCTTCTCCTCCTCCTCCTCCTCCTCCTCCTCCTCCCCCTCCTCCCAGCGCCGCCGTCGAATCAACGCAACTCGCACCCACTATGGTGCACGATGGCCCTCAAGATGGCTCCAGATGCCTCCCAGACGGGACATGACGGTTCTGAGACGTGCCAGGATGGTCCGAAGTCGGCACCGGAGGACCTCAAGACGGCCCAAGATGCCTCCAAGACGCCACGAGACGACTCCAAGAGGGCCCCCAGGAAGGCTCAGGAGACCCAAATCACTGATCATAGGAGGAGAAGGAGGAGGAGGAAGAGGAGGAGGAGGAGGAGGAGCCATAGGTAATGGATTCTTCATCGTTCTCGCCTCGTCGGACTTCCCAAAAGCCCAAGACGGCCCAGGAGGCCCTCAGGATCGCCGCCAGACTCCCCAAGGAGCTCCCAAGACGGCCCCAAAAATGGCCCCAAGACGGCGCCAAGGGATCCTCAAGATGCCCCCATGAATGCGCAAACTGCCTGAAGAGAGCCACAAGATAAACCCCAGAGGGCCCTCCCCAGTATTCCCCCAGTGGCTCCCCCAAGAACTGTGGGAACACCTGGACCTCTGGCATGGCCGCACCTTTCGCTCGACATTTCGCCTGACAGTCGTTTCCAAGGCGGAAGGTAGCGGGCGGCGGTGATTCGCCAGAGGTGTCGTCGATAAGTAACTACCCTTCCTTCTGGGCCGCCCTTACCTGCTGAGACCCAGACCCCAGACGTCGTAATTCTTCCGCGTGGGACCCTCAGGGGTCTGGACCCCTCCCCGGGACCACTGCTTCACCCCGGGCAATGTTTTGATAGCCCCCGGGCCCGGCAGAGGCCCTCAGAAGCCTGACATGGCAAATACTAGGGAACGAAGAACGACACCACATCAACACTCGGATTTGGACGCCCGAAATGGGTACGGAAAGAATGGGTACAATGCCCAACAACAAATGTTGTCCCAAACCAACAGGGCCGCTGTTGGGCAGGCAGCCTTCTGTCTCGAATGGACACAGGCCGCGGCGGCGTGGGCAGCGAGTCCTGCTCAAAATGAACAGGAACTGCTGTTGGGCAGTGTACCCATTCTTTCCGTACCAATTTCGGGCGTCCAGATCGGAAGTCCGCGCGGATTTCCCGGATCCGCGCTGGGCCCCCCCGGCGGATCCGAGAATTTCCGCGCGGACCTCCGGGTGTTTATGCTCTTATGTCCGCCTGCGTTCCCCGAGCTGCCCTCGCGTCGTCGTGTTTCGCGGGTCGGGAGGGGTCCTCCTCCTCCTCCTCCTCCTCCTCCTCCTCCTCCTCCTCCTCCTCCTCCTCCTCCTGCTCCTCCTCCTCCTCCCCCTCCTCCTCCTCCTCCTCCCCCTCCTCCTCCGTGTGGGGATGCACCCCCTGGGCGCGCACTTCCCATACCCTCTGGCCCGCAGCCGCCGTGCCCCTACCCGCGTGCACCCTCGAGCAGTAGCCTCCGACATGCTGCCCCCTTTCCTCCCCGCAGCGCGGGGGGGAGGCCTCCGGCGGTGCCCCGTGCAGCAGATTCCTGCCGAGGCCCTCGCCGCTGTCCTCCAGGCGATCCTCGGTGGGCAGGGCTCAGCGAGGCCTGTCAGCCCCAGCCAAGGCGCACGAGGAGCGACGACACCAAAAACAAGAGAAACAAAAAGAAAGCGGGAAGCCATTAACACCAGCGAACCAGCAGCACCTACCAAAACCAACGAACCCATTAAAACCAACGAGCCAGAACACCCAATAAAGCCAACCAACGAACCCAACAAAGACAGGACCCTGGAAGTCTGCCGACACCGTACGGGCCAACTGCTCAAGCCGTTGTCGTGCGCACCCCCGGCCGGGCCACGCACTCACGCCGCAAGTCAGCCGCAGCAGCACAGAGCAGCCTGGACTCAGAGGCCCCCCGCATTGGGTCCGAGCAGAGGGTGTCGTAGAATGGCGCCGCATCGGCAATGCATCGCCGATGTATCAGCGACGTCGGCGATGCATCGGCGACGCTGGCGTGGAGAAGATCGGGCTCCACATCGAGCCGCATCGCCGACGCGCCGTCGACGTGGCGCAATCCTCTGACTCCATCTCTGGGACGCCCGAAATGGGTACGGACAAAAATGGACACGATGCCCAGCAATACATGTTATCCAGAACCGACAGCGGCCGCTGTCAGCCAGGCGGCCTTCTGTCTCGAATGGACAGCGCCCGCGGCGACAACGACAGCGAGCCCTGCTCAAAATGAGCAGGAAACGCTGTCGGTCTTTGAACCCATTCTTTCCGTACCCACTTCGATCGTCCCGACATCTAATCGGACCACATCTGGGAGGCCCGGAGCCAAGAGCAGAACGATGAGCCGCAGCAACACCTGGGAGGTCGGCGGCGGCGAGGTTCGAGGACCGAGGCCCCAAGAGCTCATTATTGGCCGCCTCGATGGCCCTCCGGGGAAGCCTCCAGAGGGCCTCAAGAGACCTGCGCAGCCCCCGCGGATCTCTGGAGACCTCCAGGGGTCATCGCCGTCGCCGTCGCCGCCGCCGCCGTCGTCGTCGTTGTCGTCGTCGTGTCGCCGCCGCCGTCATCGTCGCCGTCGTCATCGTCGTCGTCGTCGTAGCCGTGGTCGTCGTTGACGTCGGCGTCGTCGTCGTGGACGTCGTGGTCGTCGTGAACATCGTCGTCGCCGTCGTCGTCGTCGTCGTGCTCCTCGTCGTCGTCGTCGTCTTCGTCGTCGTCGTAGACGCCTTCGTCAATGTCGTCGTCGTCGTCGTCGCCGCCACAGCCGTCGTCGTCGTCGTCGCCGTCGCCGTCGTCGTTGCCGTGGACGTAGTCGTCGTGGACGACGACGTCATGGACGTCGAGGACGTCGTCGCCGTCGTGGTCGTCGTGACAGCGGTGGTCTTGGTCGTGGTCGTCGTCGTGGTCCACGTCGTCGTCGTCATCGTAGACGTCGCCGCCGCCGCCGCCGTCGCCGGTCGTCGTCGGCGCGCCCCACTCAACGGACGAAGGTCAAACGCGCGCGGTCGCGGGGCACAACGCTAGGAGAACAGAAGGTGGCATAAACATAAAGACTCGGAGGTCCGCGCGGAAATTCTCGGATCGGCGCTGGACCCCCCCTCCCTGGCGCGCGGAGCGCGCCAGAGGCGGCGCCGGAGGCGCCGCCGGGGGGCCCCAGCGCCGATCCGGGAAATCCGCGTGCACCTCAGAGTTTTTATGCTTGTGTCATCGTTCGTTCCCCGATGCTTAGGTCGGGCATGTCCTCCTAGAGGCGGATTCTGAAAGAAAACTGAAAAATAGTCAAAAAGTTAGATCATATTTTAAGATAGCCGACAACTCGTCCCCATACTATTTTTTGACTAATTTGAGACTTCCCTCCTCTGGAGGGTCCTTCTGTTCATGCCACTTCTTGTTCCCCTGCACGCGCGCCTCGCCTCCGCGCGCCCCCCGGAGCGCAGCCGCCCTGCCGCCGAGACCGCGCGGGCCGCGGCGCCCCGCGGCGCCGAGCTCTCGGGGGCGTCGTCGCCGTCGTCGCCGCCGCCGTCGTCGTCGCCGCCGTCGCCGTCGTCGTGCTCGTCGTCGTCGTCGTCTTCGTCGTCGTCGCCGCCGTCGTCGTCGTGCTCGTCGCCGCCGCTGTCTTCGTCGTCGTCGCCGTCGCCGTCGCCGTCGTCGGCCGAAGGCGCTGGGCCCAGGACAGGTGCAGCCGCCCTCCGTGCACCGCTTCGGGCCTTGGCTCTACCCCGAGGGTGCCACGCGCAGCACCCGGCGCATTTTGGGGCTGCGGGGCTCCGCACGGGCAGGCTGGAGACGTGGGCCAGCGCGCTGGGCCCACACGCAGCGTGCTTCGGGGGGAACGAAGAGGGGGGGATAGCAAAGGGTAGGGTACAATCGGACTTCAGTGGAGAGGACACGCGAGAGGACACAAGAACCTTCCGAGGGCCACATCGCCTTTGGAGTATAAGAAGGCACGTGTCGCGAGGCACCAGGATAAGAGGGTACCCTTGAGCTGGCAGGGTCGACCTACTAATCCGGGCCGACTGTAGAGAATCAGCTCACGTAGTTGATTTCCCCAGCGCCAGACGGCGGCGGGAGGCGCCCATGTATCGAGGAAAGGCCTGGCAGCGGGGCCGAAGCCAGCTGCATGCGGCAGATTTCGTACCCCCCCTTTCCCTATCCCCCCTTTTCGTTCGGCCCGAGTGTTAACACAGACGCTCTGAACACGATAACGTGCTGCGCTTCAAAACGGGCGCACCAGGGGAGGAGGAGGAGGAGGAGGAGGAGGAGGAGGAGGAGGAGGAGGAGGAGGAGGAGGAGGAGGAGGAAAGAAAGGAGGAGGGGACGGTGGAGGGAGGAGGGGGGAGGGGGAAGAGTGGAGGGGGGAGGAGGGAGGAGGAGCAGGGAGCAGGGAGCAGGGAGCAGGGAGCAGGGAACAGCGAGCAGGGAGGAGGGAGGAGGGAAAAAGGAAGGAGGGAGGAGGGAGGGCGGGAGCAGGGAGGAGGTAGGAGGGAGGGAGGAGGGAGAGAGGCGGGAGGAGGAGGAGGAGGAGGAGGAGAAGGAGGAGGGGCAGCCGAGGCGAGGTGGTCAGCTGGCGTCCTCACCCGCGCGCTGCACAATGCGCCCCTTCCGCGGCCGTCCTCTGCCGGCCGCCGGGGGCCTGCGGAAGGGCCCCGGGAGGCCAGACACCAGATGCACGGCCGTGCACCTCCTCCTCCTCCTCCTCCGCCCTCCTCCTCCTCCGCCTCCTCCTCCCCTCCTCCTCCTCCCTCCTCCTCCTCCCTCCTCCTCCTCCTCCTCCTCCTCCTCCTCCTCCTCCGCCCTCCTCCTCCTCCTCCTCCTCCTCCTCCTCCTCCTCCTCCTCCCTCCTCCTCCTCCTCCTCCTCCTCCTCCTCCTCCTCCTCCTCCTCCTCCTCCTCCTCCTCCTCCTCCTCCTCATCCTCCTCCTCCTCCTCCTCCTCCTCCTCCTCCTCCTCCCTCCTCCTCCTCCTCCTCTCCTCCTCCTCCTCCTCCTCCTCCTCCTCCTCCTCCTCCTCCTCCTCCTCCTCCTCCCTCCTCCTCCTCCCCCCCTCCTCCTCCTCCTCCTCCTCCTCCTCCTCCTCCTCCTCTTGCTCCTCCTTTTGCTCCTCCGCCCTCTGAGGGGGGCACCTGGAGCCGCCTCCCTCCCTGAGGGCCCCTTGTGACAGGGGATACGTCGATGCCCAGCGACGTCGGGGCGCGCCAAGGTTTCTGACACCGCGTCGATCGTGCAACCTTGAATCGATCGCGGCCCCGTTCGTTCAAGGTTGAATTCCCTCGGAGGCTGTGGCGTTGCCTTGTCCCTCGGTGCCTCCGCGTCGTTCTAGCATGCGGAGTCCAACCTTCAACCCTCGCTGGCATCGCCAGCGCGCCATCGCCGCATGAACCTACCGTATCCCAGGCTGCTTCGCGGGGTTTTCGAATGGACCCGAGATTTCGGGCCCAACTCGGGGCTGTAGGACAGGGGGGCATCCTTCCTCAACAGGGGTGCGTCCGACCAGCCCCCCAGGGATGTATCCCCGAGTTACCCTCCTCTTCTATGAAGGGGCCTTGGGACACACATATAAATACACACAAATAAAAGGACTCCCCAAATATTTTCCAATATTTTCTGGGTTATTGTCTTCCCCCCCACTTCCCATATTCTTCCCATAGTTTCCTTGGAATCGGCGATTAATTGTGTCTGTGTGTGTGTTTTCCCCTACTGATTCTAAGCGGCCTGATCTGGCGTGGCAAAGTCGGGGGTTTGCGGCGAGAGATCGCCTCCACCCCCTCTCCTTCCCAGACAAGCTCCGATCGAAGACCTTTTTTGTTCCTGTCCGCGGCCCCAGGAGCGCCCGACCCAGGAGGAGGAGGAGGAGGAGGAGGAGGAGGAGGAGGAGGAGGACGAGGAGGAGGAGGAGGAGGAGGAGGAGGGGGGGGAGGAGGAGGAGGAGGGGGAGTAGGAGGAGGGGGGGGGAGGAGGGAGATGACGACGACGACGACGACGACGACGACGACGACGACGACGACGACGACGACGACGACGACGACGACGACGGCGGCGACGACGACGACGACGACGACAGCGTTCCCCGCCTGTATAGCTGGTGGCCCTGGGGCCTGGAGAACGGCCCCCGAGGGCCAAAACTCGTGCGAATCGGAAAAATCAGACCGTCGGAGAGCTGGGCCTCCTGGCTGCCCCGGTACGCAAAGACGCAACGCGCAGCGTGCTGACACGGAGCTCAGCGCGCAGACCGAAAACGCAGGTCTGACGCGGGACGTTCGCCACAACGTGGGCCAAGACGCGGAGCCGGCACGCAGCGTGCCGACGCGGACGTTTGGGGCACGGCGCGCGTCCAGTCTCGGAAAGGGCGCATCGAGGCAGCTGGACTGCTCCTCCTCCTCCTCCTCCTCCTCCTCCTCCTCCTCCTCCTCCTCCTCCTCCTCCTCCTCCTCCTCCTCCTCCTCCTCCTCCTCCTCCTCCTCCTCCTCTCTCCTCCTCCTCCCCCCCGCTTCCTTCCTGGCGAGGGTCGGGGCGGGAGCGCGTCCGGGCTGGTGAGCAGGAAGCTGTCGACCGAGAGGGCGAGGAGGCAGGACGGCGGGCTCTGCGGCGTCTCGGCGGCGTCGGAGGCCCGCTGCACCGAGCGGGTCGCCTGCCTGGGAGGACGCGAAGGCGGGGCGAGGGAGGGGGGCGAGGGGCCCAGGAGGAGGAGGAGGAGGAGGAGGAGGAGGAGGAGGAGGAGGAGGAGGAGGAGGAGGAAGAGAGGCCTAGGAGGAGGAGGAGGAGGAGGAGGAGGCCTAGATAGGGGAGGAGGAGGAGGAGGAGGAGGAGGAGGAGGAGGAGGAGGAGGAGGAGGAGGAAGAGGAGGAGGAGGGGGCGAAGGGGCCCAGATAGGAGGAGGAGGAGGAGGAGGAGGAGGAGGAGGAGGAGGAGGAGGAGGAGGAGGAGGCGAGGGACCCAGATCTCCGACGATCTGACTTCTACTCGCAGGCGCGGCCAGTTTCCTCGATCTCGGCCCCTGGGGGTCCGTCGCAGGGCCCCGGGGCCATTCACTAGAGGGCTCTGGGGCGCCGAAGCTACCCCAGGGAAGGGGGGGGTCTGGAGCTCTGGGGGCGCAGCCTGAGAAGATCGCGGGGTGTCTGGGGAGGGAGAGGGGGGAGAGGGGAGGGAGGCACTACAGGGCAGCTTTTAATACATAGGATTTGTTTTTAAATATGGGATTCTAATACGTGATCAGTATATGAATAAATGTATGCATGAACTCATCGTTGAGGTTTTAACTAATTCCCTGCATTTTTCATACATGATCCGCACGCGGAGCATGTATTAAAAACGTATGGAAAAAAACGGCACTGTACAGTCAACCAGTATAGTAAGGATGCGCGATGAGGATGCAAGGGCCTTTGACGCCCACTTCGAAGCTTTTCGAGCAGGGCGCGGCCAGCGACAGCGGCGAAGGATGAACCGAGGAGGCGAGGATGCAAGGGTACCCTTGCGAAGGTTGCCCATCCTTACTATCATGGTTGACTGTAGGTGCGTTCGCGCCTCGTCTGACATCCTATCCCTCTATCCCATCCCTTCCCACGGCGCTGCTTTCTCACTATCCACGGGCACGTATCACGGCCGACCTGTGACTCCCACAGGAAGATCCCTTCGTGCGATGCGCAATCGGAAAGGGGGAAGCTGCGTGAACAGGAGGCGGCGGGTGAGCTGGAGGATGAGCGGGAGGAAAAGGATGAGGAAGAACATCAGCAGCAGGAACTAAAGCGGAAGGATGAGGAAAAGGAAGACCAGGGGAAGGCGGAGGAAATGAGGGGTCGAAAACGATGAAGAAAGACTCGGATCCAGAAAAGTGGCCCGCGCTGGGGCGAGAGCGCCAAACTGAACGACGGGAGCAAGGCGCGGATTCGAAAATGAGGCCCACGCTGCAGCTGGAGAACGATTTTGAAACACCGAACACCATCGAAGGGTAAAACCATACGAACATAAACAATATAAACAACATTTGAAATCCTCTGTGACAAACACAACGCAGATGGGGGCGGGAGGTCTTCCAGAAAACTTCAGGGAAGGAAAGTAGTATGCAGATTGTTGAATTCTTGAGGAGGAGAGGAGGGAGGGACGATGGGTGCTGGATTCTGGATTGGCCTGCCTCCAAGGAGGCAGGACTGAGAAGAAAAGGTGAACGCACAAGAGTTGAGCTGCATGGGTTGACCACGCAGCCGGGACGCGGTGCTGGTCGGAGGAGGGGGAGGAGGGCGGGGGGCGGGGCAGGGGGCGGGGGGAACGCGGGAGGAGGAGGAGGAGGAGGAGGAGAAGGAGGAGGATACCCAGGGGGGAGAAGGAGAGGAGGAGGAGGAGGAGAGGAGGAGGAGGAGGAGGAGGAGGAGGGGGAAAGAGGGAGGGGAAAGAGGAGGAGGCGGCCAAGCGTTCCGAGGTGGTTCTGTACGCCCTCGGACGCGGGAAGGTGCGCGGCGGGTGGGGCCGCAGCATGCCGCGCCCGCGCGCTGCACCCGCGCAGCGCTCACACCGCGCTGCTCTGCGCTCACACCGCGCAGCGCTCACACTGCGCGCAGTCGCATCAACCGCCGCATCGGCATCTGACGAGCGCGCTCGAGGCGAAAGGAAGGCACCCCGAGCGAGGAGACGCGACGACCGCGAGCTAGAGTTGGCAAAGTGGGCTAGCATTGCATAAGCATAAAAAGGTTCGGAACTCAGCGCGGATTTCTCGGAGGAGGAGGAGGAGGAGGAGGAGGTGGAGGAGGAGGAGGAGGAGGAGGAGGAGGATAATGAGGAGGAGGAAGAGGGGAGGACGAAGAGAATGCGGACGAGGATGAGGAGGGGAGGAGGAGGAGGAGGAGGAGGAGGAGGAGGTGTGGCTTCGATGCTCAACTAGGCCCCCTGCCCTGGCGCGCGGAGCGCGCCAGGGGCGGCCTCCTCCAGAGGCGCCGCCCGGGGAGGGGGGGGGCCAGCGCCGATCCGAGAAACCCGCGCGGCGCGCTGCGTCCTGCCGCTGCAGGGGGGACGAGGGGGCCTCCTCCTCCTCCTTCCTCCTCCTCCTCCTCCCACTCCTTCCTCCTCCTCCTCCTCCTCCTCTCCTCCACTCCTCCTCCTCTCTCCTCCTTCCTCCTCCCCTCTCCCTCATCCTCCTCCTCCTCCTCCTCCTCCTCCTCTCCTCCTCCTCATCCTCCTCCTCTCCTCCTCCTCCTCCTCCTCCTCCTCCTCCTCCTCCCTCCATGAGTGGCCCACGAACGCGGATCAGCCAGCCTGCCGCACACGCTGCCGGCCTCCGCCCGGACAGACGGGGGGTCGCCCGTGAGGCCCGCCAACCCCCGGGAACTGCAGCGGCCAGGGGAGGAGGCACCGCCAGGACATGGAGGGGGCGGCATCCGCGCCTCCCGACCCACCCTGCACAGTTCGCCGACCTCTCTGCGGAAAAATAACCTTCCTCCCACTTGACGGGAAGGAGGCTCCTCTTCTGCCGCAGCTGGCAAGGGGGGAAGAGGAGGAGGAGGAGGAGGAGGAGGAGGAGGAGGAGGAGGAGGAGGAGGAGGGACAACATCAGGAGGATGACTTTGTTTCATCATGGAATATTGCGCACGTGTTGGGGCGATGCTCCCGTACCTTTATGCGTTGACATAATCGGTGCTCAGTTTATCCCAGAAGATTTTTTCAAATGACGAAACCGATACTGCCAGCAACTGTATAGACGTGCTGTGACCGTCCAGCTTGATTGCCGTACGTGGATCGAAGGGGCAACATGTAGGGAACCGAACTCTATACACCGACGCGTATTCCGGGCCTGCTCTGAAACTTGCAAACAATAAAGCGGATCCTGGTGTATACGGGATCCTGGTGTAAACATGTTTCGTTGTTCCCCAATAAAACGGAAAAACAAGTATACACCACACCACCCCGACGTCGTCCTCGACCCTCAAAAACCCTAGGATTGAGAAACAGCCCGCCACTGGTAATGCACAGGTTCCAATATCCGAACATGGACTTTACGCTTCGCGCTCTTTGCCCAAGAGGATTCCACGACACCTCGGCGGCAGCGCCGTGGCACTGGGAGGGTGGCCCAGCGGCCACCTCTCGGAGGCTCCACTCGGCCCGAAGCATAGAGGCCGTTCGGATCAGCTGCCACATGGCCGCTGGAACCCCGACGGCACGCCGCTGTCGGTGTCCACCGCCAAGCCCTCTGGGGCGCACCAAAACAGCGCCCCGCCTTCGACGGTCGAACGACTTGCCATCCCTCCTTGGCAAAGACTGACCGTCCTGGCATCCTTGTAGGTCTACCATGATGTGTCCCTTTGGAAAAGGAGTGTGAGCGAAAGCGGACCCAAAACAATGCGTTCTACCCACAGGCGTTGTGCAATATGCGCGGGACCCTGTATAAATATATATATATATGTATATATATATATATATATATGTATATGTATATGTGTGTGGAGATAGAGACAGAGAATGCACTGCGTGTTGTGAACCTGAAATGTCAACTCCACTGCTCGCGCAACCACCCCACCCACCCACCCGCAACTTGATTGGCTAAATCAATGCGGCGGCGATCGCCACGACTGCTGACGCAGCCCTGCGGCCGCGCTTGCGCGCGCAGGCTTGCGCGCAAAGCGGCCAACTACTCTGGCGCGACCGACGCAACCGCGGTTGCGCGTACCGCTGGGCATCGCACATAAAATTCCTAAGAGTGCCGCCTGGCTGCCGGGCCATGTGTTGCGGCCGGGCCACGTGTTGCGGCGGAGCGAGCAGTGCGCTCGCGACCGCGCATGGGGTGGTTGGGGCAAACAACAGATTGCCTCGCGGGGCTATGTCTCCGTGGGGCCCGAAAGAGCACGAGCGATAAAGGTGCACGCCCGACGTTCATCCGAACCCTGTGGCCAGCCTCCCCTCTCAAACGGGTCTGGCTAAGACACCTGTGGGAGACGGCTGAATAACCCTTCATCTGAATACACACACTTATGGCTACATCGATGGAAATAACAAAAACAGCACGTGCATCTATACATATACACATACATACATACATGCATGCATGCATGCATGCATACATACCTACATGCATGCATGCATGCATGCATACATGCACCTATACATACACAAATACATCCAGACATGCACATGCATACATGCATACATGCATACATGGATACATCCATACATACATACATACATACATACATACATACATACATACATACATACATACATACATACACGCATGCATGCATACATACATGCATACATGCATGCATGCAAACATACATACATACACACATACATGCATGCATACATACATACATACATACACACATACACACGTACGTACATATGCACGTAAACCTACACGAACAGTTTGCCCATATTTACAAGCACCTAAACATATACATCGACATACGCATTCATGTACATAAACTCACCAAGCTGCCATCCCCCTCGCCAGATGTCGAGCAATTCCTGCGCGGGTGCGGACGCGCGAGCCCCAGCTTCAGGCTGGGCGAGGGGTCGGCCAGCAGGCAGGCTGGGGCAGCCTGGAGCCGCCGCCCGCACAATCGCCAAAGAGCGCCGATATAATCGAACGGGGCAGGACAAGACGGCAGGGCGGGAAGGAGGGATGTGCTTAGCGGCGTTCAGACTCTGC